CGCTGGCGGCACGCTCCGCTCCAGGTGGATCGACACCGAGGCGGGCGGGGCGCGAGGCTGAAAAGCAGGCCGCGGCGCCAAGCGCGCCGGAGCGGAGGCAGGAAGTGGAGCTGCAGGCGGCCAGGCGGCAGTGCCAGGGCGCGCTGGAGGCTGGGCTTGCGAAGGAGGCGGATCAGTTTCACACGGCCAGCTTGGAGTGTCGTGCTGCGCTGGCGGCACGCTCCGCTCCAGGTGGATCGACACCGAGGCGGGCGGGGCGCGAGGCTGAAAAGCAGGCCGCGGCGCCAAGCGCGCTGGAGCGGAGGCAGGAAGTGGAGCTGCAGGCGGCCAGGCGGCAGTGCCAGGGCGCCTTGGAGGCTGGGCTTGCGAAGGAGGTGGATCAGTTTCACACGGCCAGCTTGGAGTGTCGTGCTGCGCTGGCGGCACGCTCCGCTCCAGGTGGATCGACACCGAGGCGGGCGGGGCGCGAGGTTGAAAAGCAGGCCGCGGCGCCAAGCGCGCCAGAGCGGAGGCAGGAAGAGGAGCTGCAGGTTGCGGGGCGCCAATGCCAGGGCGCGCTGGAGATGGCGCTCGTCAGAGAGGCGGGTCTGGTCGAAGCGGCCCGGAAGGAGTGCAGCGCCGCAGCGGTTGCCAGTTTCGCCCAGGAGGAGCTGCAGGCGGCCAGGCGGCAGTGCCAGGGCGCGCTGGTGGCTGGGCTCATGAGGGATGCGGATGTGGTCCATGCGGCCAGGCGGCAGTGTAGCGCCGCTGCGACAACTGGCTTTGCCCAGAAGGAACTGCACGAGGCCAGGCTGCAGTGTCATGATGCGCTGGAGGCCAAGCTCGGGGAGGAGGTTGATATCGTCCGTGCGGCCAGGCTGCAGTGCAACGCCGCAGCGGCGGCCAGCTTTACCCAAGAGGAGGTGCACGAGGCCAGGCGGCGGTGCGGGGGCGCGCTGCAGGATGCGCTCGGGCAGGCGGACCTGGTCCGTGCGGCCAGGCTGGAGTGCAGCGCCGCAGCTGCGACCGCCTTCACCCAGGAGGGAGCCCAGCCAGTCGTGGCGCAGGTCCAGCCAGTCTTCGAGTGTTCCGCGGCGCCGCCAGGCCCCGCCCACAGTCAGCAGCAGCGGCAGCAGCCAGTCCTCCAGGCGCACTCCGAGGCCCCGCAGCCTGCGCAGCAGCAGGAGCAGCAGCAGGCCCTACAGCGTGTCCTGCCGCAGCTCACCGTGCCTGGCTCAGAGGCAGAGGTTTCTCCTCCCGCGCTCGGCGTGGGCTCCTCCGAGGACCGACAAGAGCAGCAGCGGCGGCTCCCCGCCAGCTTTTTTCCTGACGGGCTGGACGGCGTGTGGCGTATAGACGACCAGACGGTGCGCATCTCCAGCAATCAGGTCCACTGGGGCGATGGTGCTGTCTGGCTCTTGGAGATGGACGAGCAGGGCCGGCTGATGGTCGTGGTCGGTGGCAGAACGTACTACGCCGAGCCTGCCGCGTCCACCATCGAGTGGAGCGACGGTGACATCTGGAGGCGAGAGGAAACGCAGCCTCTCGCCGCCCCCGGGGGTGCCGCCCAGCGACCGCCGAAGACCAGCCAGGCACCGCAGGCAGTGGCACGCGCCCCGGCGGCAGAGGCTGCCCCGCTGCTGCCCGAGGCAGCCGAGCCGCCTCCGGGGCGCACCGGCGAGGCGCGCGGCGAGGCGCGCGGCGAGGCGCGCGTGCCCCCGGAGCGGGCGCAGGGCGCGCCGGGTGCGGCGGAGGTGGCGTACGTCTACGTGTGCGGCTTCCGCCGGGGTCGGCGGCGCGGAGAAAGGGGTGGGGCGAGCGCCGCCGAGCAGAAGCGGGTCCAGAAAAGGCAGCGAGTCCTGCAGGTGCTTGATGCAGCTTTCGGGCTCCACGGGCCCTCGGGCCCCGGGCTGTCTGAAAACGATGCAGGACGAAACGATGGTCAGGCCCCGGGACCCTCCACATTCACCTCCTCCTCCTCCTCCTCCTCTTCCTCCTCCTCCTCCTAGCCCTCTTCCTCCTCCTCCTTCTTCTTCTTATCCTCCTCCTCCTCCTCCTCCTCCTCCTCCTCCTCCTCCTCCTCCTCCTCCTTGTCCTCATCCTGCGCACTCCCGACCCGTGGCCCCATCGAGTGGCATGGTTTCTTTCGTGGCTCCATAGGCAGCTCCACCGATGGCCCCAGTGGCAGGGTTCACCTTCGTCCCCCGCACCATTCGGCACACTCCTCACACGTTTCGTGGCCCCGCAGGGAGCTCCCTCGAATGCCCCAATTGCAGGGTTCGCGTGCGTCCCTCCACACCATTTCGGCACGCCCCTCACACGTTTCATGGCCCCATAGTGAGCTCCACTTTAGGCCCCAGTGGCAGGGTTTGCATGCGTCCCTCCGCACCATGTCCGCACACCCTTCACACGCTTCAAGGCCCCACAGGGAGGCCCACCGACGGCCCCAGTGGTAGGGTTCGCATGCGCTCCCCCGCTCGATTTCGGCACACTCATCACACGTTTCGTGGCCCTATAGGAAGCTCCACCGACGGCCCCAGTGGCAGGGTTCGCACGCGTCCCCCCACACCATTTCGCCACACACCCCACGTTTCGTGGCCCCCACAGGGAGCTCATCCGAAGGCGCCTGTGGCAGGATTCGTATTCGTCCCCCCGCTCTACTTCGGCACACCCTTCAAACGTTTCGTGGCCTCTTAGGGAGCTCCTCCGAAGGCCCCCGTGGCTGCGTTCGCATGCGCCCCCCCGCCCCTCATACGCTTCGCGGCCTCATAGGCAGCTTCCCCGAATGTCCCAGTGGTAAATTTCCTGCGTTCCCCTGCACCATGTCGGCACATCCCTCACACGCTTCGTGGCCCCATAGGGAGCTCCTCCGAGGGCCCCAGTGGATGCGTTCGTATGCATCCGCCCCGCACCACGACGGCACACCCCCCACACGTGTCATTGCCTCATAGGGAGATGTTCACCGAAGGCCCCAATGGCAGGGCTTGTATGCGCTCCACCGCACCATGTCGGCACACCTCTCAAACCCCCTGCACCATGTCGGCACAGCCCTCACACGTTTCGTGGCTCCATAGGGTGTTCCCCAGGAGGTCCTAGTGGCAAATTCGCTTGCGTCCCCCAGCACTAGTTCGGCACACGCCTCACACGCTTCGTGGCATCTTAGGGAGCTCCGAAGGTCGGTGGCTGCGTTCGTATGTCAGCACCGCGCCCAATTCGGCACACACACACACAAACACACACACACACACCTCATAGTGTCTAAGCACGGTAAACAAACAAAGCAATATGGGGGGAAAGTTGACAAAGATGTATTCCCAGCGCTGTAGTGCGCAAGTAGACAGCAAAAAGAAGACGGGAAAACTGGACCTCTATAGACGTCCCCGCGACCGCCCTGGCGCTCCGCGCGCAGGGGCGGAATCCTGCGCACCACCTTGGCGTCAGGCCACGCCGGCCACGCCCTGCGAACTTGGGATTCTGGGAGCCAACCAACATAAGGCCATTCAGCCTCACAAAAATCAAACGGTGACACGTGTCACCCCCGAAGCCACGTGAGAAAAACAATTTGTACATTTGGGATTCTGGGAACCAACGTACTGCCATTCAGGCGCGCAAGAACAACGAGCGACACGTGCCACCCCCGGAACCGCGTGAGAATAACCAATTGTACATTCGGGATTCCGGGAGCCAACATAAGGCCATGCAACCTCACAATAACAATGGGTGACACGTGTCACCCCCGAAACCGCCTAAGAAAAACAAGTGGTAAGTTTGGGGCTCCAGGAGGCGACATAACGACATTCTGCCTTGCAGAAAACAACGAGCGACACGAGTTGCCACCGAAACCCCGAGAGAATAACCAATTGTACGTTTGGGGGTCTGAGGGGCAACAAAACACCATTCAACCTCACAAAAGACAACGGGTGGCACGTGACACTTGTCACTCCTGAAACCGCGGGAGAAAAAACAAATTCAAATTCTGAGTTATGGAAGCCAACGCAAGGCCATTCAGCTTCACAAGAAAACAGCGGGTGACACGTGTCACCCCCGAAACCGCGTGAGAAAAACCAATTGTAAATCTGGGATTCTTGGAGCCAGATAAGGCCATTCACATTCACAAAAAAACAACGGGTGACACGTGTCACCCCCGAGACCGTGTGAGAAAAACAATTTCTAAATTTGAGGTTATGGTAGCCAACAAAACGCCATTCGGCCTTACAGAAACAACGAGTGACACGTGTCACCCCCGAAACCGTCAGAGAAAAACCACTTGTAAATCTGGGGTTCTGGGAGCCACCAGAAGGCCATTCAACCTCACAAGAAGCAACGGGTGACACGTGCCACCTCCGCAATCCTTTGAGAAAAACCAAGTGTAAATTTGGTGTTCTGGGTGCCAACATAAGGCCATTCAGCCGCGCGAAAACACCGGGCGGATCGCGCCACCCCCGAAACCGCGTGAGAAGAACAGTTATGAATTTGAGATTCCGGATGCCAGCATACAGTCGAGTTTGATTAGTAGGTCGACCCTGCCCAGACAAGGGTATCCTTGTGTCCTGTGTTTCGCGACCCATGCCCTCTATGTTCCACTGGCAATGTGGCCGTCGGATGGGTCTCGTGCCCTCTCGCGTGTCCTCTCCAATCCACCCCGAATGTAAGGCCATGCAGCCTCACAAAAAAGACAGCCATTGACACGCGTCTCCCCCGAATCCGCGTGGGAGGACCACTTGTAAATTTGGGAGCCTGGAAGCCAAACTGAGGCCATTCAGCCTCACAAACACAACGGGTGACGCATATCTCCCCCGAACCCGTGTGGGAAAACCATGTGTCAATGTGAAAGTATGGAAGCCAACTTGAGGTCATTCAGCCTCACAAAAAATACGTGTGACGCGTGTCACCCCCGAAACCGCACGAGAAAAACCATATGTAAATTTGTGATTCTGGGATCCAATGTAAGGCCATTTGACCCCACAAAAACAACGGGAGACACGTGTTACCCCCGAAACACTTCGTGAGAAAAAACAAGTGTTGCCAACATAAGGCCATTCAGCCTCACAAAAACAGCCGGTGACATGTGCCTTCTCCAACATTTGTCTGGGAAGGACCAATATTGCAAATCTGGGTTCTGGGGGCCACCATAAGGCCATTCAACCTCACCAAAAAAAGTGATCCTGGCGAAGGGCCCAACCATATGCAGTTGTGGGTACCGCAATTGTGAATATCTTCTTCGGTGAAGCTCCCCCTGAGGCCACGAAGCGCTGCACTGGGTGGGGGGGAACGCGCGCGGGCAGTAGCACTGGGACCTTCGGTGGAGCTCCCTATGGGGCCACGAAGCGCTGTACTGGGTGGGTGAAAATGCCAAATTGGATGTTTCGGGGCACACGCGGACGGTCCCACTGGTACCTTGGGTGGAGCTCCCTATGGGGCCACGAAGCGCTGTACTGGGTTGGTAAAAATGCCAAATTGAGTGTCCAGGACGCATGCGGACGGTAACACTGGGACCTTCGGTGGAGCTCCCTATGGGGCCACGAAGCGCTGAACTGGGCGGGTGAACATGCCAAATTTGGTCTCCGGGACGCATGCAGACGATCCCACTGGGGGCTTCGGTGGGACTCCCTATAGGGCCACGAAACGTTGTACTGGGTGGGTGAAAATCACAAAGCGGGTGTGCGGGACGCATGCGGACGGTCCCACTGGTGCCGTTGGTGGGGGTCCTCACGGGGCCACGAAACGCTGTACTGGGTGGGTGAAACGCAGGGAGGACGGTAGCACTGGGACCTTCGGTGGGGCTCCCTATGGGGCCACGAAACACTGTACTGGGTGTGCGGCCACGGTGTGCGGGACGCATGCGGACGGTAGCACTGGGGCCTTCGGTAGGGCTCCTTATGGGGCCACGAGACGCTGTGCTGGGAGGGTGAAGCGCAGGGAGGAGGGGGCCACAAAACGCTGTAGTGGGTGTGCGGGACGCATGCAGACGGCAGCACTGGGACCTTTGGTAGGGTTCGCTATGGGGCCTCGAAGCGTTGTACTGGGTGGGTGAAACGCAGGGAGGAGGGAGGAGGGGGCCACGAACGGCTGTAGTGCATGCGGACGTCAGCACTGGGACCTTTGGTAGGGCTCGCTATAGGGCCTCGAAGCGTTGTACTGGGTGGGTGAAACGCAGGGAGGAGGGAGGAGGGGGAGGGAGGAGGGGGAGGAGGAGGAGTGAGGACGCGGGGCGCTGTCTCTTCAAAACGAGGACCCAACACCACAGGATGGTTGGGAACAACGGACGACACGTGCCACCCCCGAAACCGTTTGAGAAAAACCGATTGTAAATTTGGGATGTTGGGTGCCAACATAAGGCCATTCAGCCACACAAGAACAGCCGGTGACACGTGTCACCCCCGAATCCGTGAGAAAAATCATGGGTAAATTTGGGATTCGGGGAGGCAACATAAGTCCATTCAGCTTCACAGGAACAACGGGTGACACGTGCCACCCCTGAAACCGTATGAGGAAACCCAATTGTAAATTTGAGATTCTGGGGGCCAGCATAAGGCCATTCAACTTCACAAAGAAACAGCGGGTGACACGTGCCTCCCCCGAAACAGTGTGGGGAAAACAATTGTACCTTGAGGATTCCACGGATAACGCCTTTAGCCGCGCAGTAACAACGAGCGTCATGCGCCAGCCCCGAAACCGCGTGAGAAGAATCGGTTGTAAATTTTGGATTCTGGGAGCCAACAGAAGGCCATTCCGCCTTGCAGAAAACAACGACTGACACGTGTCATCTTTCAAAGCCGTATGGGAAAACGATTCGTAAATTTTGTAAGTTAGGGTTTCTGGGAACCAACGTAAGGCCATTCAACCTCACAAAAAACAGCGGACGACACGAATCACCCCCGAAATGAGAAAAAGCAATTGTAAAGCAGTGAGAAATTCCATTTGCACATTTTGGGGTCTGGGGGCCAGCATGAGGCCATTCAGCCTCACACGAAACAACGGACGACGCGTGTCACCCCCCAAAAACCGCGTGAGAAAGACCAATTGTAAATCTGGGATTCTGGAGCCAACATGATGCCATTCAGCTTCACACAAAATCAGTTGCTGACATGTGTCACGCCCGAAAAACCGCGCAAGAAAAACCAGTTGTAAATCTGGGATTCCAGGAGCCAACAGTCCAAACCGCGCCCGAGAGCTGGACGCCACCGCGCGCACACGCGCGCACTCGCGCGCGTACGTCGTACAGTGCCGTTTTTAATACATGCTCCGCGTGCAGATCATGTATTAAAAATGCAGGGATTTAGTATTAAAAACAACGATTAGTTCATGCATACATTTATTTATAAATTAATCATGTATTAAAATCATATATGTCTAAAAATCCTATATATCAAAGACTGCCCTTTACGTAAGACGAAAACAACCGAATTGGGATACTATAGTTCGCGGTTCCCAGTAAGACGTTATTAATCGCTTCGCTCATTCCGCCGGCCCATATTGTCGCACCGTTGTGGGCTAGCCGAGTTTTGGGGGCCGTTTTGGGGCCTCTTGGGGCCTCTTTTGGGCCTCTTGGGCGCCTCTTGGGGCGTCTTGGGGGCCTCTTGGGGGCCTCTTGGGGCCTTTTTGGGGCCTCCTGGGCGCCTTCTGGGGCGGAGGGCTCGATTTTTCAGTTCTCGGTTCCCCTCTTGAGCCCCTCTTGGGGCCTCTTGGTCCGTCTTGGGCGGCACTTGGACCGTCTTGGGGGCCCTTCTGGGCCGTTCCGGGGTCGTCTTGGGAGCCTCGTGGGCCGTCTTGGAGCGGTCTTGGGGGCCTCTTGGGCCGTCTTGGAGCGTCCGGAAGCCGAACAAGCCAGAACGCAAAAAACATCGAACAAAAAACAATGAAAATCAACGATGTTGGCCTCTTGGGGCCCTCTTCGGAGGCCTCTTGGAAGGCCCTTGGAGCGTCTTGGAGGCCTCTTGGGCTGTCTTGGGGCCCTGTTGGGCGTCTTCGGGCGATCTTTGGCCGTCTCGGGGCCCTCTTGGACCGTCTTGGAGGCTTCTTGGGGACCTCTTGGCCCGTCCTGGGGCCCTGTAACAGAAATCCCAGTAAGACGTTATTCGTCGACCGAGGTAGCCTGCACATCTGCACGCACACATGCCATGCGCACGTGCCAATACATGCACGAGCGTGCGTTTATACGCATATATGTATACAATCATACATGTGTGCATTTATCAACCGCATCGTTCGACACCTGTGGAATTTGTTCCAGGGGGGACAGCGGAAAAATAGTGATTCGGGTGCGAATCAATGGCAGTCGAGATTTTGGGGGGGGAAAGGGGGGGCCATCATTTTTAAAAGGTTTTTGACATTCTGTATCGTAGCCCCTCAGGAAGCTCTACCGAAGGACGTACCCACGACACTGCACTCACAACTGCATATGCTACTGTCCTTCACTCAGATCTTTGCTGGTTGAAGCCATCCCGGCTTCTAAGATGCCTTGTTAGGGGCTGCCGATTCCTTGCAAGAAGCCTCCCGCATTCCTCGAAGGATCCCCCCCTCGCCCCACCCCCCTCAGCGCGCCGCCGAACAAGGGGACTTGGTGGAGGTGTGGAGCAAGTCGAAGGGCAGGTGGCTGCGGGGCATCGTCAGGGCGGTATTCCCCGAGGATACCGTCGCCGACGGCTACGAGATGCCGAAGAACACGATCAAGGTGGAGTCTTCGGCCGGCACCAAGTACGTGATCGAGGAGGAGATACCCACAACGGTGCGCCAGAGGCCGGCGGAGCCGCAGGTGGCCCCCGCGGCGGAGCGGCAGGCTCCGCCCGAGCAGCAGGCCGCGCCCGACTCGCCGAGGTCGCCGCGGCAGCAGGCGGTGCCAGTGGAGGCCGAGCCCGAGTTCTACACGCTGCCCAGGTCTCGGCCGACGTCGGCGTCCAGGCCTCGGCCGACCTCGGCGAGCAGGGCAGCGAGGAGAGGATCCTCGGCGGACGGCCGTGGATGCGGGCCGTGGGCCTCCGCCGGCATGGCGGCGCTGGCCGCGCGCAGCGCGGAGGCCGGCGGTGCTTCCTGCCCGAAGGTCGAGAGGCTCGCCGCGGGAGGCGAGGCCTCGTACCCTGGCGGTGGCGAACAGGAAGAGGTGGCACGCGTGGCGCAGCAGGACTCGAACAAGCCCCCCCCCCCCCCACCTGCCCCCGCTTCTTCGGGGGCCGCGGGGCCCTTGCATTACTGCTGCCGCTCGTCCTTCCACCTGGGGCTCCCTGGCCTCCTTCCCTCTGGGCCGCGGAGCCCACCGTTGGCTCCCCCTGGGCCCCGCCCACGCCCCTGAGCCGCAGAACCCTTGATTATCCGGCGAAGCTGTGGTCCAGAGCTCGGAGCCTTCTACTCTGAGTTGCACAGCCGTGTTCTGGAGCTCGGACCTTGTTGTGCTCGTCGTACCGTCTCGTTCGCTCCCTGGCCCTCGGGCCTCAACATCTTCGTCGTGTCGTCGTTCGCCCCTGGCCCTCGAGGAGGAGGAGGAGCAGGAGGAGGAGGAGGAGGAGGAGGAGGAGGAGGAGGAGGAGGAGGACCTCAGCCCTCATCCCCGGCCCTGGTCCCAGCCCCCTGCCCCCGCCCTCCTCGGGCCCCTTCGTCAGCCCTCGCCCTCCCTCGTGCAAGAGCCAGGGCATGCGTGCCACTTGTTTTCGTCGTCGTCGCTCGTTCGCGCGCTGCCCCCCCCTCCCCTGGGCCCGCCCTGCCACTGGCCCCCTTGGGATGGTCAAGAGGGCCCTGGAAGGACGCCAGGATGGCCCCCAAGACCCCCTTCCCCCTCCTCGCCCAGCCTCGCCGTTCGCTCGTTGCCCCCCTCCCCTGGGCCCGCCCTGCCACTGGCCCCCTTGGGATGGTCAAGAGGGCCCTGGAAGGACGCCAGGATGGCCCCTAAGACCCCCTTCCCCCTCCTCGCCCAGCCTCGCCGTTCGCTCGCTGCCCCCCCTCCCCTGGGCCCGCCCTGCCTCTGCCCCCCTTGGGATGGTCAAGAGGGCCCTGGAAGGACGCCAGGATGGCCCCTAAGACCCCCTTCCCCCTCCTCGCCCAGCCTCGCCGTTCGCTCGCTGCCCCCCCTCCCCCGGGCCCGCCCTGCCTCTGCCCCCCTTAGGATGGTGAAGATGGCCCTGGAAGGACGCCAGGATGGCCCCAAGACCCCCCCCCCCTCTCCTCGCCCAGCCTCGCCTGGCCCTCGCCCCTCCCTCGCGCCAGCGCCACGGCATGCGTGCCACTGGTCGCTTCTTCCGCACGATCGTTCCTGAGTTCCGATCGTGCCATCTCTGGCCAAACGGCATCCCCCCTTCAACCCTGCTGCATAGTGTAACGCGGTGCACATGCGATGATGCGTGGCATGCTTCGTCTGAGCATCCATCGCGCAGCACCCATCATGCGAGGCACACTTGCGCGCCGCCGCGCGCGTATGCCAACGTCGTCCAACAACTGCTGTGTTTCTTCGGCAAGTCCTAGCAACCACCGTTCGGTCTGCAACGGGATCGTTGCCAGCACTCTGCACGCGCACCCGCCGAAAGCAGGAACGCCCGCGCGTTGCGTGCCGAAAACTGTCAACGGCCACTGCGCGCCCGCCATCAATGTCGACTACGGTGGGGGCGTTAGTTAAGGAATGTGCCCAGGAGGCGCCAGACCCTGGAGGATTCCTTATCTGATGAGGGCGGCGGTGATATCCACGGCCAAGCCTCCACCGGCCTCAAGACCCTGCAGCGCCCGTGAATTCGTGGCATGACCACGCGGGTGCTTGCCCCCGCTCGAAGAGTAAAAAAAAATGCCCCCGCCGTAATAGAATGCGGGCCACACGCACACATCTCCACACACGTTCTGAGCCGGCGGCGCAGAAGGGGCGTCGGGCGCGGTCGGCGCGCGGAGGTGCACAAATCTCAGCACGCACACACACAAACAGCACACACACACACACGCACACACACACACAAACAGCACACACACATACACACACACACACACGTCGACTCCTTCGAACACCAGCCCTCTGTCATCGTTTCAAGACAAAGGTGCCCAACACATGCGCAAGCCATCCGCCATCTTGCTTTTAGTGGACATGCATCAGGGGTTCTGAATTTCTCCAGTGCTCAGTTCCGCATCATCCTCATCATCGCAATCGGTATCACATTCGTCAGCGTCATGGATGGCATCGTCATCATCATCATCATCATCATAATCATCACCACCGGCAGCATTATTACTGCGGTTGTCATCAGCGTCATTGTCGATGTCGTCGCCATCGTCAGATGATTGCGCTCGCAATGTCCCAACATCCTCACCAACACCGACACCATCCTCATCATCATCACCAGCGTCATTGTTGCCACCGTCATGATCACCACCACTAGCTTCACCACCATCACCATTGTCGTCTTTGACACCATCCCCACCGTCGTCATGAACACCGTCATCGTGATCATCAGTATTGCTGTCGCCGCCCAGTTATGTTTTGCCATCAAGTTGCGGGTGGGCGGACAGGATGTTTATTTGGACGAGCATTGGAGGTGGTCATCCGCGGATGGATGGCCGCAGTAATTGCATAACGCAGATTGCACCTCATCGCTTGCACCATAATGACTCCGCGCATTCCCTCAATGTCTCTTCGCATTCCTACCACGCACATTGCGCAGCGTACCTGGCACAGCACAAGCTGCATCCCGAACATTACATCACATAGATTGTGCCACATGCGCCAAACACATTGCATTTTACACGTGGCATCGCGTAGCTATGCACATATGTGTATATACCTCTGTACTTGTACAGTCTCCTCACAGAATGCGTTACACCGAGTGCACGTTACAAAGAGCGCACATCCGTCGTGCAAGACCCTGTTGTTTAAGGTCTACGCTGACAGTCGACTTTCTAAGGTGCCTCAGTCCCACGGCTCCTCGCATTATTGTCCATGTGTCGAGCGATCGTATTGTCTACCGAACTGCAAGACAAGCACGGGGCAGCCTTGGAGACACGCGCAGGACGGCAAACAGAAGGGCAGGATGTCCCTCTCATCGCGCTTCTTCGCCCCGCCCACACGGACGGCACGAACCGAACCCGGAACCGATTGTCCAGTGGGGGGCTCCATGTTTCATTCCAAGTTTACCTCGCAACCTCATGCATAGGCTTTCTGAGGGCCGTGCGGGTGTCTTGGGTCGACGTTGGACATCGCCTCTCCAGCGCCGCCTCCGACGCGCTCCGCTTGTCGGAGAAGAGGCGTTGTCGTATGGGGGTCCACCAGAGCCGATGAACGACATCTGCGCCAACACTTGCAAGTTCATGTTGATGTTCTTTGTTGTTGGTCCCCTAAGGACGGCTGCTTGCATTGGGAGGTTTTGTTGGAGAAGCAGGCCGTCGAGGATAAATTCGGCTTCGTGCAGGCCAACGGCAGGATGGACTTCGAGTCGCGGATGATGTCGACGTCGCAGAGCTCGCCACAGAATGCCAGGTTGCTCTCGAGGCAGTCGCCGACGTCCGCTCCAGAGGTCCTCGTCGTTCGAAAGGTGCACGATCACGGCCTCCTGAAG